TTGAGAGTTAAGGGAGGTACATTATTCCATGCCTCATGTAAAGCTGCCTCCAGCCGTGGGATGGAACTGATATCCTTGCCCAGTAAACTTTATTTCACTATTGACCAGAGGTTCTCAATTGGGTTTAGGTCTGGGGACTTGCATGGCCAGTCATTAAAGAACCTCACTTCACAGTCCTTAAGCCACTGAACTATAGATTTGGCGGTATGATACGGTGCACCATCCTGCATAAAAACCGTAGTCCCACACTTGTCAGATGCCTCAGATAAATTGTCACACAATTCCAGGTAATTATACTGGTTCATATACTGGTTTTTGGGAAGCACAGTGAATTCACCAACACTGAGCACTGAAACACCCCCCAAACAATGAATGAGTGGGTGTTTGGTGGTCCCACAAGTGTACCGTGGGTCTAGCAGGTCACTGCCTCTGGGCCAGTACACATGTCCTACCATGGTTACAAGTGACAGTGAAGGTTGCATCATTACTCCAAAGTACTTCAGACCACTGTTGAGGATTCCATTGAAGATATTTCTTCGCATAATCTAGCCTATGTTTCTTCTGTGGCTTGGAGAAGATTGGTTTCTTAACCTGGCAGTGACTACTGTAGGCCAGTTCTGACATACATCTGTTAACAGTTCTTACAGATACCTCTGAGAAAAGATGTGGGTTCTTTTCTTTCAATTCTCTAGCATTTATCTTGGGTGTACTCTCTAACTACTTCTTTACCACAGTTAAGGTACGAACAGATGTCTTCTTCGAGGGGTCAGGCCGAGGTTTGGCAGACAATAACTCGACTCCGCCACCAGCCTTGAGGCGCTGCACCCAGTTCCTCACTGAGCGCTCATACACACCAATATTCTCCACTATTTCTTTCATCTGTTACCCAGCTTTTTGAAGTCCTATTATTTGAGCTATAGTTTCAGGTGTTAAAGGCTTCCTTTTTCCCATAATCAAACATGTATAGCCCCAAAACCAAAGGGGACACCAGACAAAAGATGGGGCGGATGAGAGAGAAAAGTGCAACACTTCCTCTCACCACGGCAGCCACGTGAGCACTGAGGAGTCACTGTGGAGCGTGGCAGCAGGCCATGACATCATGCTAACGGCTGCTACCTGGCATAATGCACTGATGAAAAAAGACCCCCCTGTATGGTAGGCCTTTGACTTTCATCACGGCATTATGCTGGGGCGCTCACCCAGCATAATGCTGTGACTAGCACTGTAGATAATAATAAGGTAATGAGGGTATCAAATTATTTAGATAAAGAAAAACTGGATATCACATTGGAGGGAAGGAGTATGGAAGAAGTGAATGTTTTCAGATCAATCTTCCTCCTCTACCCTCTAGCTTCTACATTTGCTTTGAAGGAAAGTCTCTTAGGTTTGGCCTAAGTAGCGATATTGGGCAGTGCAGAAACAGCTGATATAGACCAGTGTTTGCTTCACAAACTTTTATTTTTATGGGAGTTGACTTGTCAGCAGATGGTTTTATGAAGGATGAGGTTAACCATAGAATTGATGAAGGAAAAAAGGCGAGTGGTGCGTTGAGGTATCTGTGGAGTCAAAAAAATGTTAACCATGAAGGCAAAGAAGGGAATGTACAAGAGTATGATGGTACCAACACAATTATATGGGTGTGAAGCATGGGTTGTAAATGCTGCTGTGAGGAGGCAGCTGGAAGCAGTGGAGATGTCCTGTCTAAGGGCAATGTGTGGTGTAAATTCTATGCAGAGAATTTGTAGTGTGGAAATTAGGAGGTTCATTATTCATTCATTAAGGATTTGCTGGTACAGGTCCGCCATCACAAATTCGGCAATCAGTTATTCGGTTCCTTCAGTTATTCGGCACTAATTTTGGCTAGCATAATTTCAAATTTCCAGGGTAGCCACACCAACCTGCTGGTACTGTTTGGTGGTGCTACTTGCTGCATAAGTTATTCCAATTTCTTTTTCTCCATTTATTGTTTTAACCTGCTTACTTTTAGCCCTAGCCATGGTTCCAATGAATAAAAGAAATGCTTCTCATTATGTAAAGCACCTACACAGTACATTATCCATTAAAGATAAGGTGGCTTTGAAGCCACTGTCGGTTGCCATGAGCTCAGTCTCATGAAGCAGGAGAATATGCTTTATTATTACACTAATATCAACACTACAGCTTATTTGCTTATCACAGTTGATCTAATATGACATAATAAACAATATAAATAACATAAAACATGTTAAATACTCCAGAATAAATAATATTTGGCATAATACTGAGCAGTTCGACGGAGGTATGAAGAGGATATGGTATACAAATACAATTCTCCTATCCCTGTCTTGGGGGCTTATATTAGAGAAAACGGAGCATAGCACAGGGCTAACTGTGATATACACTCATACTGCACCATAAACCTGAAGCAAAAAAGTTATTTTCTCTATATAGATTATCACACACAGCAGCATATGTGTAGAGAACCTAGGATAACCCAAAAATGTCAATGTGGCTTATTTTTAGTACCTGGCTTGGGTTAGCCATATATGATTTTCGGTAAATATTTGATTCCCAGCCAGGGTAGAAACATTAGGCGTGTTTCTTTACACCTGTTGTCTATGTTTACCCATCAGTAAATGGGTACCTGGGTGTTAGTGGACTGGTGTGGGTGTTATCCTGGGGCACTGACCTAATTTTCTTGAAATACTCTGCATAACAAGTGGCTTTCTATACAGTAGTATGTCACTGATGTCAGCTAGGCCTGTATGCCTTGTACATGTAGTAAATAAAGATATTATTATTATTATTATTATTTTCTCAGTTGTTTGTTGGGGGGTTATCTTATTCAAACTTAGGCAATGTATGATGGAAGGATACTTCTTAATGTACACCAAAAATGAAAGAAATCAGACCATAAATAGCGGAGTTCACTTCTCAGCCATTAGCGGCCGCTTAGCGGTATATTTTTGTATGCTTTTTATGGTTATATTCTCATTTTTTGGGTCTCATTTGATAGAATGAAAGATATATTACAGAAATAGATATGATTTTGATTGCTTTCATGATGGAAAGTACCTTGAAATTGTGCTCACAGTAGTGAAAATGTTCTATTCTTTAGCGAAGCTCAAGAGTAAACAAATGACGTCAAAGTCCAATACCTGTCCGCCTGCCAGTTCAATACGGAGTCAAGAATGACCTGACATTATTTATACAGTTATTACAATAATGCAGCAGTTTGCATAACAGTAAGTCTTCTATTTTTTTGTGAATAAAAATTCCAAATGAAAAGCAAGAGTAATATAAGAGGGGCCTGTAGCCGTGACTAATGAAGAGAGAAAATGTTATTTTAGTGCTAGGAATGTCTGCATTGTTTATTCTGGACCCTATTTTGAAATTGGCATTGTTGAAATTTGTGTGAAATCGGCCAAATTGCCAATTTCTGACCACTTTATTGGGTAGTTGAAATAAGTGAATGGGCAGTTTCTTGTACTCAGTTGACAGACTAGAAGTAAATAAGTTTATTCAGGTATACAAAAATACAGTTACATAGATTGTCATACATAGCAGTGTATGTATAGAGAACCTAGGATAACCCAGAAAAGTCAGACGAAGTGACTTATTTCCAGTACCTGGCTTGAGCTTGCCATATATGATTTTTGGTAAATATTTTTTTTTCTCGGTTGTTTGTTGGGCTATCTCATTGAAACTTGGGCAATGTATGATGGAAAGATGCTTCTTAACGTACAACAAAAATAAAAAAGACGGGCGATAAATAAGGGAGTTCATTTCTCAGCCATAGCCGCCTCTGCAGTATATTTTCGTATGGTTTTTATGGTTGTATTCTCATTTTTTTGGACTCATTTGATAGAATGGAAGATATATTACAGAAATATACATGATTTTGATTGCTTTCATGATGAAAAGTACCTTGAAATTGAGCTCAAAGTAACGGAAATGTTCGATTTTTGCTGATGTTCAATGAACTGTGTAAGTCAAGTTGGTTAATTTTATTAAGTGTATTCCGGCAAACTCAGTAATCCAGCACACTACAGGTCCCAATGATGCCGGATTTGTGATGGAGGACCTGTACTTCCGACCCGGGTCTTCTCCAGATGGCGACCCGGTGGTGGCCCAGGAGGTGGTGTGGAGTTGCTAAAAGTATTAGTCAGAGGGCTGAAGAGGGGCTGTTGAGATGGTTTGGTCATTTAGAGAGAATGTAACAAAGTAGAATGACTTGAAGAGCATTTAAGTCTGTAGGGGAAGGAAGGCAGAGTGGCGTTGTCCCCAAAAAAGTTGGAGGGAGGGGGTAAAGGAGGTTTTGTGGGCGAGGAGCTTGGACTTCCAGCAAGCGTGCGTAAGTGTGTTAGATAGGAGTGAATGGAGATGAATGGCTTTTGGGACCTGACGAACTGTTGGAGTGTGAGCAGGGTAATATTTTGTGAAGAGATTCAGGGAAACCAGTTAGCTGGACTTGAGTCCTGGAAATGGGAAGTACAATGCCTGCACTTTAAAGGGGTATTGGGATTGGTAGTTTGGAGGGACATCTGTACTGTCATATCTGGGCACCTCTACAAAGACAGAGGTTATGTATGAGTGATGGTGAAAGTGTTGAATGATGATGAAAGTTTTTTTCTTTCTCTTTGGGTTTTTCTTTCTTTTTTGCATCACCCTGCCTTGTTAGGCAATGACCATTGTGTTAAAAAAAAAAATCCTTGTGGCTACCCTGTTGCTAATGGGCACTAACCCTCACCCCTTCTGGGCCCTGACCCTAACATCCAACTACAGTGCCCTACAATTCACTGATCTGATCTGGAATTATGAAGAAGGGGCAGTGTAATTCTGCTCAAAAAGGTTTGGGACAGTTTAAAGAGGATTGGGATATTATAGGACACTGTTTGATATGAATCGGTTTGACTGGCCTCACTTGTATGTATAAAGTGGGAAATGGCCAGTGTTAAAAAAGTATAAGTTGAATTTATTCATTATTATTGTAATGTATTATATATTTTTTTCATTGACAGAAGCACGATATGGTCCTTTTGATAGCAATGGATTCCAAGCAGGTGTTAAAGTTCTTATCAAACTTGAATTACTACCAAATCGACTAGAAGTAGAAAAAATGAGAAAGCTTCATATGACCAGGCAAGGTAGGTTTTATAAATCATTAGAAGCAAAATATGCTTGAATCATGATTTCTTAAAAAAAAAAAAAAAAAAAAAAAAAAAAAAGTCCTGTTGTACTCCATCCGTCACCAGTTCAACTCACACCCATCCACCTTGCTCACCCATCCAACTCACTCCTGTGCCCATTCATCTCACACTCCTATCCAGCTCATTTTCATGCCAATTCATCTCATTCACTCACCCACCCAACTTGTTCTTAGGCCAGTCTAAGTTCTTGCACAGATCTACACCGATTCCCACAAAAAGTTTACTCACTATTTCAGTTCCAACACCCATTACACTTGTATATACCTGTCCAACTCCCATACCCATTCATCAAACCCATCCAACTTGCACCACCATTTACAATGCATGCACACCTAAAACACACACACACTAGAACCAATGCCCATGGTTAAAATTCAGATGTTTAATTCCTCAGCTGGATACCTACTCAAGCATGTGATCACCTCTTTAATTAAACACACTGCTCTTGTTTTCAGTGGTATATAGTGTAAGATTTTTATGCAATTTGTCAGTAGAATGTCTGATTTATGTGATAATGGTATACAAAACTTACAAATGCAACATATGGATATATCTCTTGCGGACATATTTTAACCCATAAACTGTCCAAATGTAGATCTGTTTGTACCGCTAGCACTCCAAACGTAGATATACGTTTTATTTTTCCTGCCTCCAAATTTGGCATGACTGGCCTGAGATGCCTGGTCAGTATAGAATGGGTCTTAACACTCGGTGTGTGCAGTATTAAAAGAATCTGGGACCACTTAGTACATTGTGGGAGCACCAGTTCAATTGAGTGCCAGCTAGAGCAAATAGTGTGGCAAACACCAGGGATTTACTGATGTCATGTTGTATTAACACTCCCCTTTTAAGAGGAAAGTGATGGATGTGACCACAGGTGGTCGAGGAAATACCAAAAACCTTGATAATAACCCATGTGTAACATTTGTGCAACATTCTTTCATTTTTGATACCACTGGCTGTCCCTCTGTCTGTATCTGTCTCTATATCTGTTTGTATATTTGTCTATATCTGTCTATCTCTGTCTCTCACATGTACGTATAAGTACAGTTATTATACATAGTGTAAATTACCTAGGATGACCCAAAAATTCCAGGCAAAGTGCTATACAGTGCTTATAGATATAAGACTTAATAAGCATGACTGGCAAGTCAGCAGCAAGTAATACGCATTGTCACTTCATCAGGAATCAGACGTGACTACTGTTGGTTTACGAGCCACTCTCTAAGACTGAGAGACAAGCAGACAGAAAGACAGACAGACACAGACACAGACACAGACACAGACACACACAGACACAGACACAAGACACACCAGACACACACAGACACACACACAGACACACACACAGACACACACACAGACACACACAACACAACACAACACACCACAGACACACACACAGACACACACACAGACACACACACAGACACACACACAGACACACACACAGACACACACACAGACACACACACAGACACACACACAGACACACACACAGACACACACACAGACACACACACAGACACACACACAGACACACACACAGACACACACACAGACACACACACAGACACACACACAGACACACACACAGACACACACAGCACACACACAGACACACACACACACACACACACACACACACACACACACACACACACACACACACAGAGGCAAACACACAGAGGCAGACAGAAAGGCTGAGACACACAGGCAGACAGAAAGACAGATAAGCAGAGCTAGACAGATACAGACAGGCAGGTAGATAGACAGACAGACATACATGTTTGTGTGTAACAGTCATCATTAGGTGTCACTCCACTGCTTACCCTGTGAGCAGTTTAGTGACTTGTCATAAACACCATGCTTCAAGAAGTTTCGTATATACTTCAGCATGTCTAAAACATTGCTGAGACGTATAAATACTTTGTATATATTTCTAGACAATAGTAAATGACCAAGGCAGGTGAAAATGTACACCTGTTGGTGTAATTGCGACTCGTATTCGTTTACCGACAACTCAGAGTTACGACAGGCTCTCTGATGAGTTGTTATTGTATACTGTACAAGAACGGTTTAACAAAGGGGCATTCCTGTCTTACAAATTTACTAACTTTTTTCACTAAGGTGTTTCAGGAGGTAGATCATAGTAATGAATAGGATATTGTGTATATGGATTTCAGTAAGGCTTTCGATAGTTCCACACCAGAGGCTATTGAGGAAACTTAAGGCACACGGAACAGGGAGAGAAATTTTTTCCTGGGTAGAGGCATGGCTGACAAATAGACAGCAGAGAGTTTGCTTAACCCTTTCAGGGTCCGTCCCGTAGATCTACGGCTTTACGTTCAGGGTCCAAACCGTAGATCTACGTCATGAGCTCAGCTCACTCTGATAAACTGTGAGTGGTAAATTTGGGCCTAGATATGAGAGAATACATCTATGTGGTATGTGTGCACCACATAAAACAAATCCTGCAGCACACTGTATAATGAGAAAAAAAACTGAGACCATGATTTTCGATTAAAACAGCGACTTTGCAGTGTTTTTTTGTATGTTTTTTATAGTTGTATTTGTGATTTCTTGGTCTCATTTGATAGAATGGAAGACATATTACAGAAGTAGAGATAATTTTGATTGGTGTTAGCACTGGAAATGGCTTGAAACTGAGCTCAAAGTGGCGGAAATGTTAAATTTTTGCCGATGTTCAAGAGTAAACAAACGACCTCACACGTCTAATACACGCCAGCTGGTGGGTCTAATATACATTCACAAATGTTGTGATGATATTTATACAATTATTACAATATTGCATAACAGTAAATCTTCTAATTTTTGGTGTGAATAAAAATTCATTATGTGAATAAAAAATCAAAACGGAATTTATTTGTAAAGCCTCAAAACATAACTAATGAACAGAGTTAATGTTAGTTTAGTGCCAGGAATACCTACATTGTTTATTCTGGACCCTATTTTGAAATTGGAATATTTTGAACTTTGTGTTAAATTGGCCAAATTACCAATTTCCGGTCACTTTATTTTGTAGTTGTAGTTGGCGATTTCTTGTGCTCAATCGATAGAATAGAAGTAATATTAGTGAAATAGCTAAGAATTTGGCCGACTGGAATAATGTAATTGGCCTAAAATGGCAGTCAAAGTCGGCAAAATCGCCGATTCGTAAATATCGCTGACACATCAAAATTCACGAGAGCATAATTTCGTCAGTTTTCCATCAAATTTTGTACTTTTTGTTTTATTACATTCACAAAAAGATTCTCTACCATTTCATAAGAAAAAATAAAATTTTTTTTTTTTTGAAAATTCTTGGACACTGGCGCACCACTTCAGATTTTGGCCTTGGACCATGAAAGGGTTAAATGGGGAGAAATTAGAATGGGGGCACGTCACAAGCGGTGTTCATCAGGGGTCAGTGTTGGGCCCGTTGCTGTTCACAATTTACATAAACGACATAGATGAGGGAATAAATAGCGACATAAGCAAATCTGCTGATGACACTAAAATAGGCCGTCCAATTCATTCTAATGAGGATACTAGAGCACTCCATGATGATTTTAATAGACTGTTGCAATGGTCGGAGAAGTGGCAGATGCAGTTTAATATTGACAAATGCAAAGTTCTAAATGTTGGACAGGTCAATAACCATGCCACATATGAACTAAATAATGTAGATCTTAATATTTCTGATTGCGAAAAGGAATTAGGAGTTCTCGTTAGCAGTAATCTAAAACCAAGACAACCGTGCATTAGTGTTCGCAATAAAGCTAACAGAATTCTTGGCTTCATATCTAGAAGTATAAATAATAGAAGTCCTCAGGTTGTTCTTCAACTCTATATATCCTTGGTTAGGCCTCATTTAGACAATGCTGCTCAGTTCTGGTCCCCGTATTACAGAATGGACATAAATGCTCTGGAAAATGTACAGAGGAGGATGACAAAGATGATCCCATGTATCAGAAATCTTCCCTATGAGGATAGACTGAGGGCCCTGAATCTGCATTCTCTCGAAAGGTGTAGAATTAGGGGGGATATGATTGAGGTGTATAAACGGAAAACAGGAATAAATAAAGGGGATGTAAATAATGTGCTGAAAATTTCCAGACAAGACAGGACTCGTAGCAATGGTTTCAAGTTGGAAAAATTCAGATTCAGGAAGGATATAGGAAAGCACTAATTTGGTAATAGAGTTGTGGATGAGTGGAACAAACTCCCGAGTACAGTTATTGAGGCTAAAACGTTGTGTAGTTATAAAAATAAGTTAGATAAATAAAGGAGTGGGTGTCGGTGGGTGTGAGTTCAACATGACTAGCTTGTGCTGCTGGGTCTGGTGCCGTGCTCCTTCCTTGAGTGGAGGTGACCAGACTGGGTGGGTTATTGGGCTAATCCGGGGGGGATGCATTGAGTTAATCCGGGGGGGGGACATGGACCTGCTCAGCATGGGTCAGAAGACCTGTTGCAGTGTTCCTTCTTTCTTATGTTCTTATGTTCTAACTTGGGTCATGAACGGGCAGCGCAGTGTCTCAACGTCAAGCATCTTAATCTCCTTCCTATAGCAACTCAGTACACTAGCTTTCACGGTCTTCAAGACTACATATTTGTACAAATTTCCTGTTGTTTTTACCTCTTGGAAGAGGATATACATTAATATACATATATTTGTCTGTTAATCTGCTCTCCTTTTACAGGTAGTAGTGAAAATCATGATGGGAGAAATGCAGAAGAAAGGATAGATGTATATCATGGTCACATCCAGGAAATGTCGGAAAACAAAGGGCCGGTAGATGTTTATGTAGAAGAAATTGGCAACAGGTAAGAATATGTTTAATTTTTTTGAGTGAGGGTTAATCTTCAGTTCTGGGACTCGTCTGTAAATTTTATATTCTCTGAATTGATTTGGATTCGTCTACTTTGAGTTGGACTGAAATGTTACGAATTTCAGTCTCCTATGTGCGGGTTATTTGTGTATTGTGCCTTTTTATTCTCTATTCCCATGACTCATTTGAGTGTGTAAAGAGCTTATCTTATCTACCCTGTCTATTCCTTGTAGTGTTAGGTATGTCATGATACTTCCCCATGTGTTTTATTCCTAGTTCTTGCAGTTTTTCTTCATAGTTCATTTCCCTCTATTCAGGCACCATTCTTGACATTGCTTTTAATTCTCTCAAGTTTATCTGTGTTTTACTAGTTGAGGGTTCAAGTCTGGTGCTGCAAATCAAGAATGGGTTGTACACAAAGGTAAATTGTGCTTTGAATTGAGGTTTTGTTTGGGTTTCTGAATGCTGTTAAATTTCATGTTTGCAAGCTTGGCTTGTACTGTTTATGTTCTTCTGTTTCTGGCTTCCTTTCTCAGTCTCCCAGTTTCCTAACTGCTTTTGGTCTTGGTAAATTCTATGAGCCTGCACTCTGAAAGAAGGGTGGAGATATTTTCAGCTTGGAGGGGCATCTGAACTGTAGTGTCTGCACACCTCTGGCAAGACAGTGACGGAGTAAATGATGGTGAAAGCTTTTCTTTTTTGGGTCACCCTACCTCAATGGGAAACGGCTAGTTTGTTAGATAGGAGTGAGTTGAGGCCAATGTTTTTTTTTTTGACTGATGGGCTGTTGGACTGTGAGCAAATTAACATTTATGAAGGGATTCAGGGAAACCGGTTAGCCAGACTTGATTGTAGATGAATGGTTCAGAGAACCGACACGTTGATAAATTAGACACATGTGCAACTCGTGGGTATCTTTATTGAGGAAATGTTTTGCCACACAGTGGCTTCATCAGTCCATACAAAGGAGAATCTTGAAGATCAGGAGGAGAATGAGGTAATCAGTCCCTCAACCTTGAGTCAATGTGGTCAGTCCATCAATCTAGAATAGAATACGGCATATGTGCGGAGAAGGAGCTTATACTTGGAAATTCTTCGCTTGCCTAACCCTTGGGCACGACCTACTTCCACATTGAACAAATGTGACACCACCTACAACTGCTGCACCTCTCCTGCCTACGGTTTATAAGCTCCTTCTCTGTACATATGCCGTATTCTATTCAAGATTGATGGACTGACCACATCGACTCAAGGTTGAGAGACTGATTACCTCATTCTCCTCCTGATCTTCAAGATTCTCCTTTGTAAGGACTGATGAAGCCACTGTGTGGCGAAACGTTTTCTCGATAAAGATACCCAAGAGTCGGTTCTCTGAACCATTCATCTACAATCCTGTCAGACACTGCAACTTCTTGGGATCGTAATAGTTGGAAATTCTTCGCTTGCCTAACCCTTGGGCACGACCTGCTTCCATATTGAACAAATGTGGCACCACCTACAACTGCTGCACCTCTCCTGCCTACGGTTTATAAGCTCCGTCTCCGCACATATGCCGTATTCTATTCAAGATTGATGGACTGACCACATCGACTCAAGGTTGAGAGACTGATTACCTCATTCTCCTGATCTTCAAGATTCTCCTTTGTATGGACTGATGAAGCCACTGTGTGGCAAAACGTTTCCTCAGTAAAGATGCCCAAGAGCTGCACATGTGTCTAATTTAGCCAGACTTGAGTTCTTGGGATGGGAAGTACAGTGCCTGCACTCTGAAGAAAGGGTGGAGATACATTGCAGTTTTTTAATTGTAGTATCGGCACACCTCTGGAAGACAGTGATGGAGTGAGTGATGATAAAAGTGTTTGTTCTCTTTTGGGTCACTCTACCTCAGTGGGAAATGGCTGATGTGTTAAAAAAAAAAAATAGTGGAAGTAATAATTTTGTGAAGCATTCAACCCATGTAGGTCAGTCAGTGCAAGGAGGGCTGGAAGTTCAGTCCTTTATTTGCAAAGAGGAGAATCACAAGGATATATAGGGTTTAATTCCTGTAATCAGGTCATTTATGTAAACAGGGACATTAACCCTTTCATTGTCCAGAACCACAAAATTAATATTGCTTTTAGTGTCTACATTTTAAATAAAACAGTAGAGAATCTTTTTCTGAAGGTAATCACACCAAAAGCATGAAATTTCATGGAAAGTTTACGGAATGACGCAGGTACAAAGTTAGTGTTCTGGACGCAGTTTGCACAGTGGCTATTTAGCCCAATGTGAGTCCTATCTTTAAGTCAATTTCATTTCTCTGTTCAACCAAATTCTTAGCTCTTTTGCTAGTATGCCTTTGATTCTATCCATTGAAAAAAAACCGTCTATTCAATTATTACAACTGCCCTATAAAGTGCACAGAAATTGGTTATTTGGTCAATTTTATTTTTGTATCACACAGGGAATTACTGTTAGAAATATGGTATTGCATAAAAGAATTTGCATATATCAAACTCACGTAAAGACGGGTAGCCAGACCAGTTACCTGGTCAACAGTGAGCTCAGGTGTACTGATGCCCCAGTCAGAGAGAGGAAGTAATTTAGTCACACTGCTTAACCTGACTTTGCTGCTAGAAGGGTGGTAAATTATATATTATCTGGCTAAATAATTGATTGTCTCCATTATTGTAATTATAGGTACACCTACCATCTAACTTACGACCTGCTCGACTTAAGACCACTCGACTTACGACCATGTTTTTTATGCCAAATTTCTGGGAAATAAACAACTATTTGTGTTGTACACAGTGTTTATCCTAAACCTTACAGTATAAAATACAGTACTAACAGCATAAAAAGTAAAGTAAAACATGAAATACTAAAATAAAACAATAAAATAAAGTCATTACAAAAATGTTTTGTTGATATTCAGTAGTAAAGTTCGACTTACGACCATTTCGACTTATGACCGGTTTCTCGGAACTGAACTCGGTCGTAAGTCGGATGGTAGGTGTATTTTGTTGTGAAGGGTTAGTTTTAAGATACTTAGACCCTAACCCAATTTTTTCTATGTATTATAGGATTCATATTTTTTGTTTTTAGATTTCTTGGTGAATTTCAAGAATTTAACTTTCATGCTAAGGGTGGTTTTGCTTTATTTTTCTTTTTCTTTCAACAAACTGGCCGTATCCCACCGAAGCAGGGTAAGCCAAAAAAAAAAAAACAAAGGTTTCTATTTTTAACTTTAGTAATGTATATAGCAGAAGGGGTTACTAGCACCTTGCTCCCAGCATGTTAATTGCCTCTTATGACACATGGCCTATGGAGGAAGAATTCTGTTCCACTTCCCCGTGGAGATAAAAGCAAGAACTAGTAAGAAAATAGCAAGAAAACCCAGAGGGGTGTATATATACAGTTTGTATATGTATGTGTAGTGTGACCTAAGTGTAAGTAGAAGTAGCAAGACGTACCTGAAATCTTGCATGTTTACAAGACAGAAAAAGGACATCAGCAATCCTTCCATCATGTAAAACAATTACAGGTTTTCGTTTTACACTCACTAAGCGGGACGATAGTACACATCCTGGGCAGTTGCTGTCTACCAACTTATTACCTAGGACTTTATATTTCCTTACTTATAATGATGGGAAGAGTTGTATGGAAATAATGTACTCCACTCAAGTTTATATTGTTTTTTTATTAACACATCGGCCGTTTTCCAGCAAGGCAGGGTGACCCAAAAAAGAAGAAACACTTTCATCGTCATCCACTCCATCAGTATATTACAAGAGGCGAGCCTACACTACTGTTAAAAAACGGCAACTCAGGTTTAATAGGTGTCTAATTTTCATAAGGTTTTTCTAATTTTTCTAAATTATTTTCAGATTAAAGGTGCCTTATGAATCTTTAGAAAAAGTTCCTCCTTCCCCACCTCGTTCTCCATGGCATGCTTCACAGCAACACTTGCAGACAGGTACAGGCTCAGCAACCACTACAGGGGTAAACATTCCGAGCTACAAGAAACTCACTGGCTTTTATCAGAAGGCGCCTCTTCCTGCTGAGCCTGAGTACTGTAAGTTAAGTGCATTGTTTGTTTTTAAGAAAAGCTATTTGTTACTCTATCTACTGCATTGTCACGTGTGTCCAACTTGCATTTGCAGTCTCCAAATTTAGTTAGCGTATATTTAAGAAAAAGAGTTTTGTAATACAGTGGTCCCTCATTTTTCGTAATTAATCCGTTCCTGGAAGTGTGACTATTATCGAAATTGAAGATTTTCGAATCCATTTTCCCCATAAGAAATAATGTAAATCCAATTAATTCGCTCCAAACACCCAAAAGTATCAACAATAATTTTTTTTTTTTTTTACCTTAAAGATAGATTTACATGCACAAAAGAATGAACATTCAACATGACAGTTACCTTTATTGAAGGCTGTTGTTGATGAATGGATGACAGGGAGGAGGAAAGAGGGAAGAGAGGTTATTGTTTGGAAGGGGAATCCCTCTCCATAAGGACTCTAGTCACTTCAGGGGTCACTTCCCTACCTTAAATATAGATTTACATTTAAATATAGATTAACCGGACTTGAGTCATGGCAATGGGAAGTACAATGCCTGCACTCTAAAGGAGGGGTTTGGGATATTGGCAGTTTGGAGGGATATAGTGTGTATTATTTATACGTACATACTTCTAAAGGAGGGGTTTGGGATATTGGCAGTTTGGAGGGATATAGTGTGTATTATTTATATGTACATACTTCTAAACTGTTGTATTCTGGGCACCTCTGCAAAAACAGTGAATATGTGTGAGTGAGGTGAAAGTGTTGAATGATGAAAGTATTTTCTTTTTGGGATTTTCTTTCTTTTTGGGTCACCCTGCCTCAGTGGGAGACGGCCGACTTGTTGAAAAAAAAAATGCAGAAAAGAATGCCAAATAAATGTAAAGCACTAATAAAATGTATAAATGAACATTTAACATCACACTTACCTTTTATTGAAGACTTTTGTTGGTGTATGGCAGAGGGAGGGGAGGATAAGATAAGATAAGATTTCGTTCGGATTTTTAACCCCGGAGGGTTAGCCACCCAGGATAACCCAAGAAAGTCAGTGCGTCATCGAGGACTGTCTAACTTATTTCCATTGGGGTCCTCAATCTTGTCCCCCAGGATGCGACCCACACCAGTCGACTAACACCCAGGTACCTATTGGCTGCTAGGTGAACAGGACAATAGGTGTAAGGAAACGTGTCGAAATGTTTCCACCCGCCGGGAATCGAACCCGGGCCCTCCGTGTGTGAAGCGGGAGCTTTAGCCACCAGGCCACCGGGCCACCACTGGAAAATATAATGCTAATATCAACTCTCTGGCTTATTTATCTATCACAATTCAACTAATATGACATAATAAACAATATTAATAACATAGAAACATGGATTATACTCTAGAATGAATAAAATAAGTCATTATGTATGTCACGAGAGGTGTTGCGTTGTTGGGTGTATAAGGGCCACTGACAGTAAGCCGTCCATAATGGTGGTGAAGCAGCAGCTGAGGCGGCGGTGTTTTCTGTAGCCCTATATAACTCCAACAACATTGGAGGAGTTGGTAGAATTGCTGAATCTCTGAAGAAGGCACCCTCTACCACCATCACAACCACTACCACCCTCTACCACCATCACTACCACCACCTACCACCATAACTACCACCGTCTACCACTATCACAATGCTAGTACCCCTCTACCACCATCACTATCACCATCTACCACTATCACAACTGCTAGCACCCTCTACCACTATCACAGCTGCTAGCACCCTCTACCACCATCACTACCACCTTCTACCACCATCACTATCACCGTCTATCACTATCACAACTGCTAGCATCCTCTACCACTATCATAACTGCTAGCATCCTCTACCACTATCACAACTGCTAGCATCCTCTACCACCATCACTACCACCCTCTACCACTATCACAACTGCTTCCACTCTACCACCACCACCTTCGTATTTTTCTACAAACTTTTTCTTAAATTATGTGTGTTTCTAACATTCTTTATCAAAGGGCTGGCTTGCCAATAAAGTTAGGAATCCTTAACCTGTAAATAGCTTGCCAATAAAGCTAGGAATCCTTAACCTTGTCAAACCCTGTGAAAAAAAAAAAAAAAAAAAAAAAAAAACTAGAAGCTTTCTTTGGAGCCATGGTGATTTATTTAGCAGTTGCAAGCACTAAAACGAATGGAATATTATGAAATGTATCATATGAACTCGTGGGATCATCCTCACTCACTGATAAACAATGACATACTGGCTGGGAGTGGAGTGTGAGGCGGCTCGGGGCTGTGTGTACGCATTCCAGACAAATGACTACAGTATAATGTATTTGCGAATCAAACGACAATTCACGAGCCAATGTTTTGAGGAAAATAACGTTACGATTTTCGAAAATTACGACTATTGAGCCTTACGATTATTGAGGGACCACTGTACATGTCATTTCCTTTGTAATCTAGGAGAAAGTGTAGAATTTCATAAAAGTGATTTACCATTGGATTTGGAGATTATAAATAGAGAAATTGGATATCACATTGGAGGGAGTATGGAAGAAGTGAATGTTAGCAGATGGGTTTATGAAGGATGAGGTAAACCATAGAACTGATGAAGGAGAACAGTGAGTGGTTCGTTGATGCATATATGGAGACAAAGAACGTTATCCATGGAAGCAAAGAAGGGAATGTACGAGAGTATAGTGGTACCAACACTCTCATATGGTTGTGAAGCATGGGTTGTAAATGCTACAGCGAGGAGGCGGCTTGAGGCAGTAGAGATGTCCTGTCTAAGGGCAGTGTGTGGTGTAAATACTGTATTATGCAGAAAATTCAAAGTGTGGAAATTAAGAGGAGGTGTGGAGATACTAGAAGTATTAGTCAGAGAGCTGAAGAGGTTTGGTCATTTAGAGAGAATGGAACAAAGTAGAATGACTTGGAGAGTGTATAAATCTATTAGGGAAGAAAGGCAGGGTAGAGGTCATCCCTGAAAAGGTTGGAGGGAGGGGATATAGGAGGTTTTGCGGGCAAGGGGCTTGGACTTCAAGCAAGCGTGCGTGAGTGTGTTAGATAGGAGTGAATGGAGACGAATGGTTTTTGGGACCTGACGAGCTGTTGGAGTGTGAGCATGGTAATATTTTATGAAGAGATTTGGGGAAACCGGTTAACCAGACTTGAGTCCTGGAGATGGTAAGTGCAATGCATGCACTTTAACCCCTTGACTGTCGCAACCCCCAATCCTGAGGTGTCTCCTGGTGTCGCAAAATTTAAAAAAAAAAAAAAAAAATTTTTCTTATGAAATGATAGAGAATCTTTTCCCGATTGTAATGACACAAAAAAAAATGAAATTTGATGGAAAACTGACAGAATTATGCTCTCGCGAAGTTAGCAACCTCTGTGATATTTACAAATCGGCGATTTCGCCCAATTTGAGCCCTATTTTCGGCTAATTCTGTTGTTCCAGTCGACCAAACTCATAGCTATTTCTTTAGAACTTCATTTTTTCTATCGATTGAGTACAAGAAACTGCCCATTTACTGATTTCAGCTACCCAATAATGTGGTCAGAAATTTACAATTTGGCCAATTTCATGAAAATTAAAAAATATGACAATTTCAAAATAAGATCCAGAATGAACAATGCATACATTCCTGGCTCTAAAATAACATTTTCTTTGTTCATCAGTCACGTCTCCAGGCCCCTCTGATATTACTCTTGCTTTCTATTTTGAATTTTTATTCAAACAAAAAATAGAAGACTTATTATTATGCAGACTACAGCAATGCTGTAATAATTGTATAAATAACATCAACCCATTCACGACTGCATATTAGAATGGCTAGTTGGACATTTATTGGACAATGGCATCATTTGTTTACTTTTGAACATTGGCAAAAATCAAACATTTTCCCTACTTTGAGCTCCATTTCCAGGTTCTTTTTTATAGTAAAATCAATCAAAATCACCTTTATTTCTATAATATGTTTTCCATTCTATCAAATGATACCAAGAAAACGAGAATACAACCATAAATACTATACGAAAATAGACCACAAAGTCGGCATTTAAATTTAAAAAAAGTGGTCCGAGATTTTTTTTTCTCATTATGCACTGCGTGCTCCAGGATTTTTTTTATATGGCGCACACTGACGACACAGACCCATTCTCTCACATGTGGGCCTACCAGCTTTCTCCTGCTTGATTTGAAGCCGCTAGAATTTATGAGTACAGTGGACCCCCGGTTAACGATATTTTTTCACTCCAGAAGTATGTTCAGGTGCCAGTACTGACCGAATTTGTTCCCATAAGGAATATTGTGAAGTAGATTAGTCCATTTCAGACCCCCAAACATACACGTACAAACGCACTTACATAAATACACTTACATAATTGGTCGCATTCGGAGGTGATCGTTATGCGGGGGTCCACTGTATATATACGTCAAACACGGTACCTCGTAAGACATATATATACGGCCGCGACAGTCAAAGGGTTAAATGAGGGGTTTGGGATATTGGCAGTTTGGAGGGATGTCTAAGCTGTCATATCTGAGTGCCTCTGCAAAGACAGTGATTATGTAAGAGTGATGGTGAAAGTGTTGAATGACGATCAAAGTTTTTCTTTCTTTTTGGGTCACCCTGCCTCGGTGGGAAACAGCCGATGTATTAAAAAAAATTAAGTGTTCTTTCTTTTATTTAAAAAATAACTCCAGAGGTGTCTAAATTATAAAATTTAGAAATTATTTTGAGCATTTTATTAGGAGACTTATTACATTTAACTATATTACATGTTGTTGTTATACCATTGTTCATGCTCAGATTTGGTAGTTATGTGCATGTGTGATACATGCACTTGTGTAAGGGTGGTTATCCATGTATGGCTGGTGATTAGTGCATTTACATTTGTTAATGGTTCTGGAGATTATCATTTCCAGCTTGGTCTCATATTAGGTCTTATAAATTGGAAAGGAGGAGGGCATCAAACAATTTAGATAAGAAAAAAATTGGATATCACACTGGAAGAAGGGAGTATGGAAGATGTAAATGTCTTCAGATACTATTTGAGAGTAGACTTGTTGGCAGATGGGTTTATGAATGACAAGGTAAACCATAGAAATGTTGAAGAAAAAAGGTGGGTGGTGCATTGAGGTATCCGTGGAGACAAAGAACATTATCCATGGAGGCAAAGAAGGGAATGTACGAGAGTATAGTGGTACCAGCACACTTATATGGGTGTGAAGCATGATTTATAAATGTTGCAGTAAGGATGAGGCTGGAGGCAGTGGAGATGTCATGTCTAAGGGCAATGTGTGGCATAAATATTATGTAGAGAATTCTTCTTTTTTTTTTTAACACGTTGGCCGTTTCCCACCGAGGCAGTGTGACCCAAAAAGAAAGAAAAAACCCAAAAAGAAATTCATAGTGTGGAAATTAGAGGAGGTGTGGAGTTACTAAAAGGGCTGAGGAGGGGTTGTTGAGGTGGTTTGGTCATTTAGAGAGGATAAAGCAAAATGGGATGATTTGGAGGGTGTATAAATCTGTAGTGGAAGGAAAGTGGGGTAGAGGTCATCCTAGGAAAGGATGGAGGGAGGGGTATAAGAGGTTTTGTGTGCAAAGGGCTTGGACATACAGCAGGCATGTGTGAGTGTGTTAGGAGTGAGTGGAAACTAATGAGTTTTTTGTACTTAACAAGTTATTGGAGTGACAAGCTGTTGGAATGTGAGCAGGGTAATACTATGCGAAGGGATTCATGGAAACCAGTTAACCAGGCTTGAGTCCTGGAGGTGGGAAGTACACTGCCTACACTTTAAAGGAGGGGTTTGGGATATTTGCTGTTTGGAGTGACATATGAACTGTTGTATCTGCATGCCTCTGCAAAGACAGTGATTATGTGTGGATGATGGTGAAAGTGTTTATTTTTTGGGTTACCCTGCCACAGTGGGAGACAGCCAGCGTACTAAAAAAATAAATATATTTAGAGAATATGAATCATTAAAACATAGGTAAGTAAAGTGTATACTAAATGCAAATAGAAGTTTGTAAGATTTGACTTGTCATTTTTTGTTTTCATTAGACAAAAGACCAGCAATCTTGTCACGGTTCAAAGCAGTCAACAAGTTTCCATTTCACACTTGCATAGCAGTATTGATAATGAAAATTGTATTTTAAGACAAAATAATTAGACGAAGTAGAAACTTAAATAAAATAATAAGATAGTGAGTGGGAAACATGTAGTGTGGAATGTTGGACTTGGTAATGGTCAAGAATCTTTAGTGTTAACAGTACAGGATTTGTGTTGAATGTTGGGCTGAGTGAAATGAAGAATCTGTGTTGACAATAAATGACATGTGCCATGTTTGGCCAAAGTTCAAATATGTGTATATCATATTAGCAATAAATCACTTATGTAGAATATTGGGGTAGCAGTAGATGACTTATGAAATATTGGTCTAAGGCTCGAAAATACCCCTAGTGTTATCAATAAATGACTTGCACATAACAGTATAAACTTAACATGAAAGTATATACAACATTAATATCTTTCTAACATTTTTTCAACAGCCTCAGGAAGAAGTAAGAAGAAAGGTGGAAAGCAGATGCGTGAGGTATTAACATTAGTCCCTATACCTGCTCCTTTAAGATACTGTGTAAGTTTTCAGGAGTAGTCAGTAATGAGTCAGCTAATAAATGAAGATAATTATATGCTGCAAACTAAACTAACATAACTAACAGGTAGGTCTTGTGGGTAGGAATGAGACTTGCATTTTTCTCCATGTTTAAACGTTTAAATATCTTGTATGATAAGCTCGTAGAAGACAAAACTCTATGAGCATAAGCTCTATTTCTTTAATTACAGATGAATAACAGATTTACAAGGAAACAATGATGAGGGAAGCAAGGAAAAAGTTATAATTTTGGTTGAATTGTGGTGCATGTCTAAGTAGTGTCTTATTGTCTCAAGATGATATGTTAGAGAAATAGCTTTGTCAGAGGTAACTTGTAAACTCTCTATAGGGGACTGCAAATCTGAGGTTGCAGAAACAGTCAACTTGTGTACAATATGGCAAAGGGAACCCGGTGGAACTACATTTAGCGTGGGTGAAAATGTAAATAGCATATTTTACCCCTTAGGGCCCATTGAATGAAAATTTTGTAAAGCCAAAGGAATTTTAAAAGCAAGTGGGGTTAATTTGAATGCGTTAGCAATCATTCTTACCTGCGTCCTCATTAATTTCTATTGTTGTGCCTGTCCCCTTGTATATTATTTTTTGCATGTTTTTGTCTCAAAAAATTTTTTTGACGTTGCTGTTGATCATTAGTTGTGGGCATTCATGTATGAATTTTTTTGTAGAATTTTGCAGGTGATATAAAACTGTTGGTAGCATTTTTTTAACTACGAAAAAGGTAAGATAATACTGTTGCTTCTAATCACACTGCCATAACAACATACTGGAGTGGGTATGGGGGAAGTGTAAAAAACCCCCAAGGAGGAGCAGGGGTAGGTGGGCTCGGGAAACACTGTATCAACATCCGGGGTCCAGACTTTTAAAATTACCGAAGATATCAGAAACACTGCGGAAAAAGTGCTGAAGCCTTCAAGGGGAAACTAGAAAGTATTTCACCAGGTGCCAGATCACCAGGCTGTGATGGATTTTGGGGGGGCAGGGGCCCCCAGCAGAACACCCGGGTTGCCCAGGCGAGCCCCAGGAGCCTGGCCCGGGGGGTCAGAGAGTAGATTACCCCAAAAATTCTTCAAAGGTTTATCAAAGGAAAAGGTAAAGGTACTTAATAAGCGGGTTTGATAATTAAATTTAAAAAGGGGGGCTATACTGTTTGTTATCACTTGTTCCCCTTGGTTGAGAAATTAGCTACAATTTTGAAATTTAAACAGGTGTAAGGTGCTATTGTTTTTATAGCTTTTTTTTAACATCTCTGCTGTAAAGGTGGTTCCTTTGACATGTTTTTGGGTTTTTTTAAGGAATTGGCCTGACCCCCCCTTCTTGGATTTTAATCTGAATGCCTCCCATTCCCTTGACACTATGCCCCTTAGGTTTAGGCTTCCTCCCCCCCTCCCCCCCATAAATGTAATAATTTTAAATATTAAAAAATTACCTTGGTGAATGAGTTAAATTTTTTAAACCCAAAGTTAAAAAGTTAAGTGTAACAAATAATTTTGACTATGGTTGAGTGAAATGAAATTGACTAGTTAGTATCAACTCCAGATGGTTTGGCCTCTAAGGAAAATCTTTGAAGTTTGATAAATTTTTAAAAGCATCAGGACATTTATCTGAAAAGTGAAAATTGTGAAATGCCGCTTTTCGTGTTTCATTGAGGATTCCATTACTTGAAAAAATTTTTGTTTTCTTTTTGTGCAGTGAATATTTCACTGCTGAAGAAAGCATCACATGATGGATTAATATTTTTAAAAGCTCTTACCTTTTGCTTATAGTTGTGAATAGAACGGGGGGAAATTTCTAAGAGCATTTGGGAGTGTAAGGTAATGTTATGAAGGTTTTAGTGTTGATTAAGAGTGACATTTGAAAGTTTTTTCTTTTTGTAAAGTCACTTACCTCGGGGAGATGGATGGAATTTTAAAATATTTTTTTTTTTTCAAAAAGTCGGCTGTCTCCCCCCGGGGCAGGGTGCCCCCAAAAAAGAAAGAAAATCCCCAAAAAGAAAATCCCTTTCATATCATTAAAACATTTCACCCACTAAAATTTTAAAATATTTTTTTTTTTTTTTTTTTTTTTTTTTTAAAAGTGGCCATTCCACCGAGGCAGGGTGCCCCAAAAAAAGAAAGAAAATCCCCAAAAAAAAAAATACTTTCATATATTCAACACTTTCACCACCTCGCACATTATCCTGTTTTTGGGGGTGCTCAAAATAAAAAACAGTCTGAAGTAACATATAAGAACAAAAAATATCCCCCAAAAAAATTTCCCCAATATCCCAAACCCCCCCTTTAAAAAGTGCAGGCATTGTATTCCCATTTCCAGGCTAAGTCCGACTATATGAAAAAAAAAGGGTTTTCCCCTGAACCCCTTCACTAAATATTACCCTCCCCCCACCTCCAACAGATCGTCAGGTCCCAAGTCCCATTGTTTCCTTCATCTTCTAACAGTCAGAGCTTGTGGAAGTCCAGCCCTTACCCCCCAAAAAACCCCCCTTTACCCCCTTCCCCAACCCCTTTCGAGGCGCCCCCTACCCCCCCCTTCCTTCCCCTATAGTTTATATGCTTTCCATGTCTTTTATTTTGATCCATCTCTCTAAATGACCAAAACCACCTCAACAACCCCCTCCTCTGCCCTCTGCTAATACTTTTATTAACTCCAACCTTTCCTTTTTCCCACACTCCGAATTTTTGCTAATTTTAAACCCCCACCATTCCCTTTTTACAGGACATCCCACTGCCCCCAAAATGTTCCTCGCTGCGCTTTTCCCACCCCAAGTTCACACCCATTAAGAGTTTTGGTATTATTTTTTCATACACCTTCTTTGCCTCTGTCCCTTTTTACCCTAACCTAACGCCCCCCAAATTTTTTTTTTTTGATTAATTTTCAAAAAGGAAAGTAACTAGTACAAAAATTTTTTCAATTCCCCTAATTTTGAAAAATTTTTTTTAAAAATTTATGGGAAACCCCATACTTCCTTTTATGTTTTTTTAATTTTAAAATTTACCACTTTATCTAACCTTTCATTTTTCTTTAGGAATTTAAACAGTTTAAAAAAAATAAATGGTTTCCCCCTTTTTGGGAATTTGATTCCCCAAATTTAAACCCCCCTTCCCAAAACCCCCTGCATTTTTTTTTAAAACTAAAAATTAAAAAACTGGTAATTACCTTTCCCTGTTTTGTTTTTACCGGGAAGTATCTTTCTTCTATATAACCGGCCTCATATTTAAAAATTTTTACGATTTTTTACATTCCCCTTTTTGAAACTTCCAATTTTTTAATTTACTATGTTTTTCAAACCAAAATGAATAAAAAACCTATTTTATTAAATACGTTCCATATATTTGCTTCTTTAAAACCCGATCTAACCATTAAACTCTGGTTTCCCAAACGAACCCAATTTGTTTATTAATTTTTCAAAAAAAGCCGACACCCGGGTAATCGTAAAAAAAAATTTTTTTTTTTTTGGGGGGGGGTATAACCTTTGTATGGGGTTGGGTAAAAAATAAAATTTTTTTTAATTTAATATATAAAAAACTATCTTTGGTCTAGAGGTATTTAAAAACTATGTTTAAAAAATTAATATGTAATGAATTAGTAGTAGGGGTTTTAGACAGGAACCCCCCCAGGGAGGTACTACGCCCTCCCAAGTGAGTGAAAAAAACAAAGCCTGTGATTGTTTTACATGAGGGTGGTTTGTGATGTCTTTTCGTCTCAAAATATGCAAGTTTACAGGATGTTTTGCTACTTTACTTACACTTAGGTCACACTACACTTTACATGTACCATTTATTTATACCATCATCTGAGTTTTTTTTTGATTTTTTCTTAATTTTTCTTGGTTTATTAATTTTCCTTTTATTCCAGGGGGAAAGTGGAATAAAAATCTTTCCTCCGTAAGCCTGGTGTTTAAAAGTCAACTAAAATCCCCGGGACAATGGGCTGTAACCCCCTTTTCTGTAAAAATTACTAAAAAGAAAAAGAAGAAAAAAATTGTCAAGGGGAAGTCTGAATGTGCGTGGATTTGTGCGTGATAAAAAAGAGATGATTGTGGATGTTATGAATGAGAAGAAGGGTTTTCCTGGCTTTAGTGAAACAAGCTGAAGGGGGTGGGGGGGAGTTTCAGTGGGAGGAAAAAATGGGATTTGGTCGGGGTTTCAAATAGAGTTAGAGCTAAAGAAGGAGTTTGCAATAAAGTTGAAGGATAAGTTGGCAGGAAAAGGGGACTATAAATGTATAAAATTTAAGGTTATGTGGGGTAAAATAAAGTTTGGATGTGAAAAGTGGGTTATAAAAGCGTTTGCACCTGGGAAGGAGAAGTGAGAGGGGGAGAGATTTTTGGGGAATGTTGAGTGGGCATGGGGATTTTGAATAAGTGTGAGAGTAATGGTGGTTGGGGGATTTTAATGCTAAAGTGGGTAAAAATGTTATGGAGGGGGAGTAGTAGGAAAATTTGGGGGGGCCCGGGGTAAATGTAAATGGGGAGCCTTTAATTGGCTATTGTAGAAAGAAATTTGGTAATAATTTAAAACATATTTTATGAAAAAGAGGATAAATAAATAACAGGGTTTATGTAGCACTAATGAAAGTAGTTTATTAGTTATGTATTGGTGGATAAAAGGTTGATGGGTAGGCTCCAGGATGTACATTTTATAGAGGGGGAATGAATGCGGTCATTATTTAGTTGTGCTACGTTAGAGTAAAAGGTAGATGGGAAAAAGGGAAGGTGGCAACAACAAGTAAGAGGGAGGGGAAGTGTATAAAAATAAGGGGGAGGGAATTGGGTGGATAAAAGCGATATTGGCAGAAAAAGGGGGGTAGTGCAAAGATGATAGTGGGGGGGTTGAAGAGGGTTGGAAAGTTTTAAAATGCAGTATTAGATGTGGGGCAGAAGTTTGTGGTTATAGGAGGGTGGAGGCAGGAGGAAAGAGGAGTATTGGTGGAATGTGAAGTAAAAGGGGGATAAAAGGAAAAAG